GACTTGACATGGAACATAGCACTCCTCAAAAAGTTCTCTGTGTTTTGTGCTTCATAACAATCTGGCCCTAAATTTGAACATGACATTTTGAAAACAAAAGTCTTTGTTACCCATGGTCTTAATACTTAGCAGCACTAACTTAGTTACAATGCATAACTATTACTTTTGTATCTTAGCTGAATTTAATACTGTTTATTTAGTCTTTTGTACATGCAAATTACAGCTTGATTTTTTTTAAAACCTCCCTTCTGTTCTACAGGATAAAGTTGGCAGTGTGAATGTGGAGGCTGGGTAAATATAGTGGTGCCTGTGTTATTAGGCTGTGTGCTGTTCTTCTGCCAAAAATTCAGTAATATCTACAGACTTTTATACCACCATGAGTTTGTGTCAGATTTAGAACCCAGTTCTGCAGCTTTGGATAATTCAGGGGGACAGAATTATTTTTAAAACTACATTTCCAGTATCATGATGGAAATGTTTATTTTCTAGGGTGGAAGTGCTGAGATCTTTGGTGGCTTTAACTGACCCTCAGGAGGGGAAGCTGACTCAGTCTCAAGAGAAAGTGAGTGACTAACAGACTGTCCATGTCTGTTTACTGCATCACTTCAGAAGAGCCTATAATTAGGTAGTCAAGCTTATTCTAATAATATGTTAGAACTGTTTCCATAATTCACGTGAGCTGAACCAAAATGTGTGTGCACCAGCTCTGTTTCCAATTGCCCAGCAAGTGGTAGCTTGATCATCGACCACCTGAATTCAGTGAGGTTCCTTTCAAGCAGGTGGCACTGTCAGGTGTTCCAGCTGCTCCTGAAAGTCAGGCTTCAAATCATGCTGTCATTTACTGACTGAAGGGCCAGCTCTTGCAGGCCTCCTGCAGGTTGCAATTTCTCCTAGTTTCCATGTGTGAGCCTGGTATATGTAATTAGATTTCTTAATCCAATGGGATCGATTTCTTGAGCTGGCTGGTTTTCCAATTCCTGGAATCTAGTAATGACTTGAGAGAATAAAACCAAAAGAAGGAGTGGAGCTTGTATTTTATGCCACATTTAAGCAGGCTTAAAACAGTGGCCCTATTATTTTTGTCATCTGTCACTGACGGGGATCAGTGTAATCCTTTGTTTTTTTGTAATAGGCAGAACATGATGGCTGTTGGGACAGCAGGTACAGTGCTAATGCAGTAAGGGTTGTACTGACCACAGGCAAGTGTGAGAAACTGGATGTGTTTTTGTGGATTTTTACAGTGTGAGTAAACACAGTGTAATATCCAGAGACTTGGAAGATGTACAAGACAGTTTGGGGGATTCAGATTAACTCAAGAGCTTTATGTTCATCTTTTAGTAATTGCATCTGATGCAACCTGTAATGAAATTTGGTAGCGTTACTTTCAATTACTTCATATTCTTCTATTCAGTCTTGTGTAAATCTTTAATTTTAATGTGCATTCATTCCTTAAATAATGCTTTCATTTGAAGCAAAATTGCTTGGGAATCCCTAAAGCACAGCTAACTGTTATATTGCAGTTATAATTACTTTGCATGACACAGAGTGATGGTTTCATTCTTGGTTCTCATTTCACAGTTAAGTTTTTATGCTCCTTTGTATTCTAGGCACTAAATTCACTGGGCATTTGGAAAAGTGTATTTAGAGTTGTTCCTGGGGCTACATCCAAGACCTCAGTGGAGTGACAGCTTGAAGATGGGAGACCAGGAGGCAGGTGAACCTTTCCTGGGGATAGTGGCTGATGGTGGCAGAGACTACGAAGGAGCTCTGCCCTCAGACACGGTGTCGCTCAGCGATTCTGACTCTGATGACTTGGGGCTGGCAGGTGAAGCAGAAGTTGATACAATATCTCCTGAGGAGCCATCTGTCGATGAAGGGGATTTCAGATCAGGAGAGACACCCAACTCTTCAAACAGCGGTCACAGATCTCCTGTCCAGCCGTTCCATCTGAAGGGCATGAGTTCTACCTTCTCTCTACGTAGCCAGAGCATTTTTGATTGCCTGGAAGAGGCAGCCAAGCTGTCTGTGCCCTCAATGCCTGAAGATAACGTTGTTGATGGGAGGTTTAAGCGTCCATTGCCTCCAACCACAGTTTCAGGTAACGTGGTCCCAGAAAACATGGCAAGGCAAGCCAGAGCAGTGCAGGCTCCCAAAACCTCTCCTGCAGTGCCTGACTACGTGGCACACCCAGAGCGCTGGACCAAATACAGCCTAGAGGGCGTTTCAGAGTCCAGTGACAAGACTAACAGGGCAGTGGCCATGGAATTTCTGAGTGGTTTGAAGAAAAAAGGGGAGCAACAGAGCTCGGCTACCCAAGATAGCTACACCCCGTCCTTCAACCAGGACCCTTCCAGCTGTGGAGCTGGGAGGATTGTCTTCACCAAACCAGCTAAAAGAGGAGTTGATGGACTGGAAAAGAAAACATCAACAGGGGAGGATGATAAGAAACAGATGAAGACAGATCTGAAAGGAAAATCTCTTAAGAAGACTGATGACTTGAGGGAAGAAGATAAGGTTGAGCTGGGGCACCTAGACAGTGACAGTGGAAAGGCAGCAGAGGAGGAGGAGTGCATGATGGAGGGGGACCAGAACACAGAGTATAAACCTGATGCAAGGCTTAGTGGTGCAGGTGAAGAGCCATCGCTGGGAACAGTTGGATTCCACTGCAGTAAGAAGAAGAGCAGGAAAAATTTCCGACCTAAAGTAGATGATGAAGGGGAGGAGGAAGACTCCTGAAGGATGAAGCACATTGGAGACATTCCAGGACTTGTCTTGTTCATTTTTTTTCCTCTCTTTTTTTTTTTTTTTTTTTCTGGTCTGAAAACCACATAATAGTTTTTTGTCCAACAGTTTGCATCATAGCCACCAAGAATGTTTTATATTTTTAGAAATTAAGCTACCTAAAATAAACTCCAGACGTTTTGTTTATGAGAATTCTGTGGGCACAGGATAGTTGCATCCTGGCAGGATAAAGTGTGATACTCCTGAGCTGTAGTATCCAAAGAAGCTGAAGTGTTAGCTAAACGGCTGCAGGGCTTCCTAGTAACTCCCAGTTTTGGAATTGTTCCCAAATCCTGTGGAATCCTGGAGAAAAGGTGATGAGCTCATTATGTAGAGATTTTTAAACAATGAAAATAAAACCTAGTCTTCCACTGGATGTGATTTCTCCTGGCCCTGTCCCAGGAAGGAAAACCTTTTAACTTTTTTGTTTAAAAACCTCTTTCAGTCATTGACACTGAGGTGAAAGCACGACAGTGCGCAGTTATAAGATGTGATGATCTGCACCTTTGTATGTCCTTTCCAGGAGATGCTGCTTCCATACTGATTTTGTATGTGGATTGGGGTATTTGTGGGAATGAACTACACCAGAACTGGAGACGTTTTTGTTCTATGTACAATAAACTTTTGGTTGTAACTTGATTTCTTGTCTGAACCACACTGAGTAGTGCAGCTCTAGGAGTTTTACCAAACATTTTTTTTGACTTCTAAACTGTCTTGAAAACCTTTTAAAGTGTTACTCTAACTTTGCCATCTTGTTAATTCTCCCTCGTCTTACAGATTCTAAACCTCACATTTTTAACATTTTCAATCATTTTACAATGTATAATCCCCTCATGGATGAGTCATCTCATACAATGAATCACATTGTAAGGAATGTCAAATATAGTGGGTTCTTCCACAGTGCTAGTAAATTTAATAAATAAGGTTGAAAGATCAAATTCTTTGAAAGGTTACATGATTTGAAACTCAAATTAGTTCAGGTCACTTTGAACTGACATTTTTTTTTTGTCAGTATTCTAAATGAACCAATCTCAAGGGTAGTATTTATAACTGTGTAGTGAAAGATTAATTCTGAAGAGTTTGTGATATTTCTTGGTAGATTTCTTGCTCAAACTCTGCGGGGTGTTTGAGGGGGTGACATCCTCTGGGCGGGGGGAGTTTATCTTACCAGTAATTAACTGGGAGGCCCAAATTACTTGGGCTTTGTGTTTGAACTGATGCATCATTTGGCAAAAGAAGCAGAAAACAGTGTAAAAGGAGCAGTTGTGCTCTATTTTTCAAACTCACCTTTTAGTTTCCAGAGCAGAATGTATTTTCTCGTGAGTATGCAGTTGGATGCACATTGCTTAGTGGGTCGTTGGTAAATACATTTGTTGTTCCAGTGCATGTGAGTGGACATACACAGCAGGTCCCAGTGGAGAGATTTTGGGTTCCAGTGGATAATTAGTGTGCTGATCACAATTAAAACAGTAGCCATATGAAAGTGGAAGCTGCTGCCAAGAGCAGGGAATGCTTGTTGGGAGATATCTGTTACTTCTTAAGAAAAAAATGTAGCTCAGTAATACAAACTTACTGGGTTGATGAGTTCTGCTTGCCCAGGGTGAGGAACAGGTAGGACTATCAAAATTCCTTTGCTGCTAATGGAGTCACAGGCCTGGGGCACAGCTGAATAAACTGGACAAATGCCTGTTTCATTAAGCCACGATAACAAGATTAATATCTTAATAAAAGACTCATTTTTGTCAGACCTGAGATTTATTTTTTTTTTCCACCTCTGGTAACAGAAAGCTTTTGTGCTATCTACAATTACATTGCATAGAGACAATATTATACATGTGAGGAAATGCAGTTGAAGTTTGTATCAGAGTCAGACACAGCCCAATACTTCCCCCTTCTGATACTGTTTATGTTATTCCAAAGACATTTCCCCTGAGAGGATGGTATTGATATTTTAGTGGTATATCTTGCAAAATTCTAATAAAACCAGCGAGTTTTTTGTATGCTAAAAATGTACAAGCCAGTTTAAGTAATGGAAAAAACCCACAAACAGCCCAGATTCTTAGACTGCAGGATAATTCTTGATATACATTCTTCTTTTAAAGTTTTTAGGTGATTTCTTTTTTCCCTCTGACCCTTGAGAAAGAAAAGTAAAATGAAATCAGATACTTAGATGCAGAGGAGGTATTCCATGTGGTGTGATACCTGGAAGCAAAGGCTCCTTTTCAGCAGGGAACTGGCAGCAGCTGTTCAACAAAAACCAGGTGATTCCACTCTCTGAGGTTGAGTGAGGAGCCCTTAAGAAGGAATACCAGCAAAGGAACACCTTACAGGAGCCAGTGTGGGAAGAGAAGCTGGTGAGTGTAATTGTTTGAGAGTTGTAGGAATTCCAGGAACTGTATGTTTTGTAATGTTTCAATATTCAGGCCCTTTCCTTGGAAACTATTTCTTGATTTCCTTTTCTAAGCATCTCAGGAGTACAAGCTTGATTTCTTGGCCAAGGAAGGAACTTGTTTTTAAGTGCGTAAATGATTGGTCTTCCAAAGGGAGACTCCCTTGAACAGAGAACTGTGGAATTTGGCAGTGATGATGGTGAATTGAGGGTGTGGTAGCTGGAGAACAAATGGTATTTAGAAAATAAAGTGGTATAGCCACCATAGAGGAGAAAGCTTTAATGCTGTTTGTGGAATAGTTTTGAAGAAAGGATCGAGTGCCAAGGGAACAGCAGGAAAGAAAGCTCAGGAAACCGAAGGAGAAAGACTAAGAAATCTTTTGGAATGTCAAGCACTGGCAGTGCTCAGCATAGACAGCTCATTGCCCTTAGGCCTTCAAAAGATTAGGATTTTAATTCTACAGTAGTTCAGTAGGACAAAAGGTTTAATGTGAAAAAAATAGATTAAAATTTAATTATCAATGTATTTGAGGTCACTCTCAAACTGATCTGCACGATCTTCTCTTTCACTTCTTTGTGGTAAAGGCACTTCTGTGTTGGAACTCTTCACACCTAAATAGGATTGGAAAAGTTCTGTACTCGTTTAAAAGCCTTAGGACAAGGGGCACATAGTAGTAATTGCTTAAGAAACTTTAAAATGTTGAAAAAAAGACTCTGTATATTATGTTACTTCATATTTGCTCAGTAAATGATAAACACAGACTACTTTTTCAGCTCTTTAAATTTCTGATTTTTTATGCAGTTACAGTATTAAAATGTCTGGGAAGCCTGCTATGGGATGGAGTTTTTCATTGGAATACTGATAATGAAGCAACTCACCTAAGTGTTTAATAAACTTCTGACAGAATTAAGTACAGCTTGAGTTAGCTAAAATCTAAGTGACTTGAGGTCCTGTCGTGTTATGAGTGTTAAGTTTTCCAACTACCTTTTTCCACGTAGTATTTTGCGTCTTGAAGGCTTTGTGTAATAGAGAACAATAGGTAGATATTGAATAGGTCATTAAGAAGGATATCCAAATTTTTATTGTGTTGGGTGTCCTGCAGTGGCTGAGAAATAGCTTGTTCCTGTCCCTAATGATTAAAACTCCATGCAGTGGAGCCCTGGGACACAGGACATGATTCTTAACTGACAGAAATGGGTGCAGCTCCAAAGGCAAATGAATTCTGTTAATTAAAAAAATACTAGGAGACTTGCACAGTTTTTCTTTTTAATGATTATTGCTATGCATTTTAAATACTTTCATAATACTTCCCTAGCATTATCTCATGGACTCAAGAAACCCCCAAGGCAATCCTCTGTTGCAAATTGATACTTGTTTATGTGTTTGAACTGGGCGAGATTATTCTAACTCACCCTAAGTGACAGTCCTTGCCCCAAAGCTTTTAAATGTATTTTACAAAAGGTAATTTTTTAATTCTGAACTAAGAATATTCTGTTCCCTGTTTATATTCCCATTACCTCTAGGAATCTCCTTGTGGGGTTATTTTCCAATCTTATTTTTCCAACTTGTGTTTTTTAACTACATTGTTCAGCTGTATTAATTAGCTTTTCTATGACTGTTTTCAGTACTTACATGTATAGTTTGGAGCTGGTTGAGTGCACAAGAGGATGGTTTTGGTTAAAGCCTCTGACATGGAGGAGATAACAGCTGTACAGTAGCAAATCTACAAAAGAGATAGTAATTAAATACCTGCCTTCTTTTGTGAGGATATTGCAATATCTCAAGCTGGCACAAACTTACTAAAGCATTCCTTGTGTGTTTCTGTTGGACCTGTATAGCCTGACTTTTTTTCAGGAAGCCATAAAAGGGATAAGAAGGGAGCAGGAAACTGTAGCAGGAGTATTAAGATAAAGAATTTTCAGTGAGGCCAAAATTATACAGGAGAGTTGTAGAGATAAAGAAAACAATAAGAGTTGTGCTACATAGCAGGTGGTTTAACATTTTCAGACTGTGTAAGAAATGTTGTTTGTTTATATTGTGAGGGTTTGTCATCAAAAGCTCAAGACAGAATTTCCTGCTATTATTTGAACTTCATAACTGTATGCTGGACACTTCCTTTTTGAGATGCTGGTGCTTGGTATCTTAAGAAAATTAGAAAAATTGATGTACAAGAAGATTAGGTCAGATCAGAGAGAATATGTGTATTTTCCAAGCTGGCATTAAAAAAAATTATGAGAAGGACAAGAATGGAAGGGGGAGGATGAAGCATTTCATTCCAGTAGCATCCTTAACAAAGGAAATAAACACTCTCAAGTAAACTACCAAAGACAGCAAGAAATATTGTATTCTCTTTTCTCCTTTCTACAGGAGTCAATTAATATTTCTTTACATACGTTTATCACCAGAAAGCAATAAGGAAAGTGAAACCATAATACAGATCCATTTTTCTGTCCTGTTATCTCTAAGTAGGGTTTGCCAAACCACTGTTAAATGGGAGAAAGATGGTGAAATCCTAATGCTGATATAAATGCCTAGAAAATACTCCTTACCTGGGCTTCCAGAACTTTAAATCGTTTTTCTTGTTCTTTCAACCCACTAAAATACTTAGACAAATTATCCACCCTGTGGAAACAAAGCAAACACCTTGAGCAAAAAGGAGAGGCTTCAAAAGAAATCATAAACCACAAACCACGTGTAATGTACTACACCCATGGCCCTTCATTGCAGTTCTGTGCTGCTTAGACATGCCACAGCCCCCTGAAAGTTTTGTCTTTTTGAGGTGTTCACAGCAGTATTTTTTTGGGCAGAACAGCAATTCTGGAACACTCTCATGCACGTGTTGCCCAGGGACTCACAAATGACAGGTCAGGGCATCTATTCCGCTTCTGGGGAGGGCCACTTGCCCTCAGTTGCTGTGGAAATCAAGGGCAGCAGAAAGGAGCTGCTCTGTCTTTTGAGCCTCTTGTGTCTTTCCTACCTGGAAACATCAGTACCAAATGGAAACTGATCCTGGTGTGAGAACTGAGGCCACAACAGAGATAAGCCACTTAAAATTTATGCAAACTTCCATTTCTGGAAGCTAGCTTGACAGTCAAATCCCTTTTTCCATGCAGTCCACAGGGATTGCTTAATGAACTTCCACATAGTGCCTCCAAATCACTGAAATATCCCCAGGTTTGCTGCATCCTTCACCTGTTCATCAGTTCTTTATTCTTAGCATCTGATACCTCATAGGGTTGGTAAATCCCTCTCTGGTTTCTCCTAGCTATTCTTTCGAAGTTTCCCTCTCACAGGCAATGTTCCAATCCCATCTATGTCAAAGACCTGCTGCTGGGTGGGTCTAATGCATTTTGAGATTGGTTCAGTGCAGCCAAAGTTCAAAGAATCACTTCCTGAGGGTTTCCTAAGATTTCAAAACCACACTGCTATCACCTAAGAGCAAAAATAAAAACCATGGTGGGTAATGGTGTTCATCTGAATCTCTTCCAGTCTTTCTCTGGCTCTGCTATATTGAAATATTGTGAAGCCAGATGGATTCTCACTTTTTGCCCTCCAGTAACTTCACCTACAACGTACCATCTTATTATATAAAGGATATAGTACCCTTTGTTTGAAAGCAATTGCACATATATTTATTGCATTAGCTCAATAATTAAACTCTCACTCCTAGTGTTTGTCAGTGATCTGCTTATGAGAATCAAGCTTAAACCTATAAAATCATTCTAAATTATTATGAATTAAGGGTCTATGTGAATTAGGGGCAGAGGAGTATTTTCTGAGAATGGAGTATGCTGTTCTGGTCTCCAGCTATTCTGTGAGTTGGAGGTTTATTTTGAACAAAAGCAGACAGCACAGGAACATTTCCATGGAACTTTCTTATTATGGTAACTTTCACACCCATTGTGCCTCTATTTGAAGTCTGTTTTATTGTAAGAGAAAACAGCTGGAATATGTATTAAAAGCTTATTTAAGGAGTGCTTCTTAGATGTTTCTGTTCTCCCTGCATATAACTACTTTGTGTCTCACTTAAAGGTTTAAACCTCTGAAAAATAATCTAGGACTTATACTTTATCAGATTAAACCAATTCAAGTGATATTCCTAGTAGGGAAATATAGAGAGGTACACAAATGAAGACTCAATTCCATGCCATAAAGGTATAAGTATTTGTTCTTCTGCATCTGTGGCTAATTCAAGTTATCTTAAACTTCCATTCAAAAGTCTGTGTTGTATTCCTACAGGGGATGAAATTACGTGTGCTGCAGTCTAGCAAAAAAATGTTTTTCTACCATTTTCTTAATGAATAAGATTTTAATTGAGCTTGGCCACAGATTTGGCTGGAACTTGCAGGTCTATAATTGTACATACTTTAGGAGTGACAAACACTCTAACATTGGAGTGATGCTGGCCTCTCACATTTTTTCATGTACTGTGTGTTTCCTAGCTGCATTCCAGTTGGACCCTTTATATAAGCTTTGTAAGAACTTCAATGCTGAACTCATTGAAAGATGAAGGCTTGTGAATTACTCTTCCTGTGGGTCAGAATAACTTACTTATTAGATGTGGCCTTTAGCCTTTCTTCATTGCTTTCTTTCTTTTCTTGCTCAAGGTTTACAAGATAATGTTCTTTTTGCACCAGCTCCCATGTTATGATTTTTTGATCGAGGCTCAATGGAAGATCTCTTTCTGTAGGAAAAATAAGATAAGAATTATATTTTACCCCTTTTTCTCTGATACTAGCAGTGAAATTTGATATGTTAAAGGAAAGTTGTTTTTAGAGTTAATATCTGCAAAAACTCAGAAGCAAATGAAATAAATATTCCTTAAACCTATCAGTTGTTAAATCTTCAGAAATCAAATCCCTATAAACCCATTTTATATTGCTACCTTTGTTGTAATAACTATGATGCATCAAGAAATGCACTGTGGGGAACTGTTCATCGTTTAAACAATAAACCTTAATTTTTTGTTTGTGCTCTCCTGGCACTCTTCATTAAAAATAAATTGTGACTCTTGCCTTAAGGAAATCCATCTTGCTCTGCTATTTTGTGTATGCACCATGTCTTTGGATAGAGTCAGGCTCTATAGCTGCTAGGTCACATTTGTTAACAACTCACCCAGGTGTTTTTTCTTATGTTCCATTTTGTTGAAGAGTCTTCTGAGAACCAGAGTAACGTGGTTGATAATGATAAATGGTGGTGCTAAGGCAGGCCGACCATGGTATTCAACAATCAGGTTGTAGCGCTGCACTTTCCAGAAGATGTCTGTATTGCCCTGGACAACTTGAAAAGTGTAACTGTAATTTGGGGGGAGGGGGAGGAATAAAAACATATAACTCTTTTCACCACAACAAGCTAAAGATGAATATAACAAAATTTAGTCCTGTATTTACTTTAAAAAAGGAACAGCGAGGTCAGCAAGGAGTATTAATTTAATCTAAAGTTTGTGCAAATTCTTAGATATTACAAGAATTGCAACTGCAGTCTTCAAATGTTAAAGGATACATTTGTTTTGTTTGGTATTTTTGGGTTTTTTAAAAGAAATATAATTCTACTTTGCTCAGGAAAGATCAGCAAACATGCCACATCAGTTCTTCAACCAAATGAATCATTATTAGCTGTGTTGACAACAAGCATTTCCCTGATGTGCAAATCATCCACTGTAAAGTCTGCCAAGTTTATGGCTGCTGTGCATTTGCAGATTTGTGGTTCCACACAGCCAGAGACTCAGACTCTTCTGTGCATGTTTAATTGAATTTTTAGCAGTAAAAGAGGCTTCTTTTCTCCTTGTCTCCAATGTGACTAGAGTAAGGATGATGAGAACTTAAGAGCCGTCTGATCACAGGATTCTGCCTATCAATTCCCAAGCAATATTCATTAGGAAAATCACAAGTGTATTTTAAAAGGTATTTAAAAGTGTATTTTAAAGCAGTGAGGTAGAAAATATGGGCATCCACTTAAAGCTTTGCAGCCTCTGTCCTGATATGTAGTGAAATCACTCTTGCCTGAACATAGCAATCAGGAGGTTCATGAGGAGGACATTTGTGACCAGTAGGAAGATGACCAGCAGGAGTATGACGAGCCAGTTGGCGTAGCTGTTAGGGCAGGATGGCATGTTCTCCTGCAGAATCTGCAGTGGGTTAAATGTGCAGTTCCTGGGGTATGGTCGTGATGCTGAAAGGGAGATGAAGAAAAAAAAGTTATGGCAAATCCTCATGCCATGTTTCTTTCTTTGATTTTGTGGAAGTATAATCGTGTTGTGTATGTAAAAAGACATTGCATTGTTGTGCAAAAGGTATTTGCAGCCCTAGGACACTGCAGACCTCCACAACTTGGCTGCTCATTTAGTGGCAAGATGTCTGTCACAGCTGGCTTTGTAGTAGTGTTCATCATAAAAGGGATTGTATTGAAAGGGCTGTATCCTTTTTGGACTAGTTTTGAGTTCTTGAAATCAAACCTCCTCTGAGTTTGTGCTCTCCCACATCCTTGTGTCCTCATGCCTGGCACGTGGGTTGGAGGAGAAAACTCAGTAAAAGCTGGGAAGGGGGTTGGTTCCTCGTTCTAAATTTCAAGTGCTTTGTGTATCTGAGCTTGCAGTTAAGGTTAGGGAGAAGGTCTGGTTCTGCTGCATCAGACTAGAGGTCTAGTGCTGTATTCTGTCTCCAGCTGCAAATTAAACCCACAAGTTTAGAGTACCATCATGATATTTACTTTTTTCCCCTCTATTTTTTCCCTAGTAATCCTTTTTCCCAGTGCCACAGATAACCCCCTGGTTACATTCATTAGAGCACGTGGTTATATCAAAGCTCACCAAGCTGGGATTTCTTTCTCCAAGGGCACTAACTTATACTTATCTACACTGAATTTCATTTTATGATTCAGCACTCATGAGGCTCCTCTGCCTCTCTTACATGTCAGTTTTTGTCTTTGCTACCCAGTGATGTGGTTTTGTCAGCAAATTTTGTCCTCCCCATTACCCCTCTCCCTTTCCATATATTTCATAAAGATATTAAACAGACTAAGACCCAGAGACCTAGGACAAATTAATCCCTTCTGGAAGTTGCCCATGTAATTGGTTCCTTTTTATTGTTACTCTTAACCAGTTATTTACCCAGGTACCCAGGTAGAGACACCCACTGGAGTTTCAGTGGTGAGAAACACACCTTTCTAGGGAGTGCTACACCTGACCTTTTGACAGATAAGTTAAATTATATTCCAGAAATATTTGTTTCTTTCCAATTACTTTAATGGAAATAAGGGTGACTGTGCTGTACATGCTTACACCATAGGCATTTAAAATGGATATGAATAACTTTCCTCTGTTTTGTGTCATTCAGGTGTTTTGGCTTTTCAAAGACATGCTTTCTCTTACTAAGCACAGTGAACATGAGAGAATGCTTACTACTTTGCTTCAGACTATGGCTTTTTTTGGTTCTATTTTATATGACTTCAAGTTTGAATGCCACTTCATTATTGCCAGTGACATTTAGCACTGGCTAAATGCTGTGGTATTATGGCAGACTTCTTTTATAGGTGACCTATTCTGTATTTTACCTGCTTACCTATCAGAAACGTTGCCTTTGAACTTCTACATCTAATTATTTCAGTGTCTTGTGATTATTTTTATGTTGTTTTGTTTGCAACAGTGGACATAAGCAATTACTAGCTTTATTTGATTTGGGCAGCTTAATCTCCAGAGTAAATAAATGCTCTGGAGTGATTTGATTCTAAAACATATGTTTGTTTATGGGCAGAGCAGTACTGCTTTAATGCCAAAATGTGTGGAGGTGCTGTTATTTATTATTTGAGTTTACAGAGGGTTATCTGGGTTTAGGTTAAACTGAAAGGAAATGGATTGAAGTGAAAGCGGGTATGCCAGCCTTTAGAACTGCAAATCCTTGTGTATTTCTGAGAGCTTATCTAAACAGGACCAGCCCTTATGCTCTAATGTAACTCCACAATGCCCATTATCTCTTTCCAAATACACTGTTTATGTGACAGTAATGTATAAGCTTTGGCATGTAGGACAAAGATTTTAAAAAGCAAAATTAAAAAAGGGCAATACTTGGAAGGAATTCCATGCTATCAGAAGTGTGCATTCAAAAATGGCCAAGCTAGGGGGAAAGAAGTTTCCTCACTGTCTATTTCATCCAGTGGAATCTGGCCAAATATCTGAAGGTAGGGACGATAAAGAACCCTTCTGAATATCCATTCCACTCGGCTGTCATTGGGATGTAGCAGAGCTTGAGTTGTCACACCGTAGGCAATGAGCCACACGCTCAAGAAAAACAGAAAGAAGAAAACATCCTTCATCTACAAAAGAGAGGGGGAGGGGAGAAAAGGAAGGGCAGTGACTGTAATAGCATAGTCAAGGAACAGTAGTTTTTCTGTATGAATATGGCTTGAATAATTCTGTTTCTTTACAAGCTTGTTTAGGGTAAAGGAGGTGGAAGAGGGTACAGTTCTATGCACAGAATTTCTCATCTGACCTTGCTGTTACCATATTGTCCTTGGCCTATAGTAAGCATTCTTCTTTGATAGCTCATTTAAATAAAAGCACATTTTAAACTAAAATCTTGCTTTCCAATCATCAAACATTTAAAAATTAAACAGATTTTATCTTTTAAGTGACTGTCACATTTGATCTTTGAAATGCATGTTTTCTGTGAGCAGTCTCAGTACCACAGACTGCTTTACTGTGAATTACAGGAGTTCTGCTGCAGCAGAGAATCCTGGTAGCAGTCAGTGCTCATTGATGAATACTGAGCTACTGATACAGCAGGCAGTAAAGGCTGCAAGGATCAGGTTCCTTCTGTCTTCAGTTTTCAAGCTAAGTGATGCATCTGAAAGATTCTTTTTGGGGCTTCCTGCTTTTAAACATTGTGTTTCTCTACAGAAAGTAGAGAATTCAATTACAGAAGTAATTGAATCATAAAACACTTACTTAAAAAAAAATCTAATATGAATATCAAGTGCAATAATTTTCCCCTGGTGGAAGAGGAACACTTCATCCTCTCCCCATCTGATCTGACAGAGTTCATTAGAGACTGTAGATTCCTTTCAATTAGATTATTGGATTGTACAGTTACCCAAAAGCATAGGCATTTCAGAGCTCCAGGATATTACTTGGAGTTCTGATAAGAAACATCATCCCTAAGCCAGGCAAGACAGAGTTGATATCTGACTTCCATTAATCTATTTTGTTTTCTGGATGATCTAAAATTTAGGAATGCTGCAGGGCTGTAATGCTATCATGGTGATGGGAGAGCGGTAACAAGTCTGGAACTATTTTTTTTGCAATCTGCAGTCTCTCTGGAAATGAGTATTGTTCTGTAATTTTAGCAATTACCAGACCTATTTCAGCAAATCTGTAGCAAGGGTGTAAAGGGGAAAGACAGTAAGAGACCATATGGGATTGCTTCTCTTAAATAAGGGAGGTGATTTTGCTTGAACCCCCTTGAACCCTTCAAGCAGGTTTCATTTACTGAAGTAACCTTCGCTGTTTCTTCCTTTGATGTAAGGTTCAACACTGAAATACCAAAGCTGAGGCATTGTGTTGGCTTGGGTGGGGCAAAGATGAAAGGTCCCTGGTAGGGTTTTTCCTCAGCTGCTGTTAATGTTCTTGTTTGCACCTTCCCAACCCCAGTGTTATCTTGCAGGACTTCAGGTGCCAGCAGTGAGCACAGGTAGGATTTGTTAAAGGTCCTGGTTTAGCTTGGCAGGCAGCAAAGGAAGGGTTAGGAGCTGTACAGCTGACTTGTTCTCTTGCAATAGAAATCTGCTAATGCCATAAGCTAGATAATGAGCAAGAACAAATATTTATTTGCCATTTACCCTTTTGCTAGTCCAACCAAATGTCATCTTAGAGTTCTAGTTATTGCATTTGTAGACAAATCCAAATAGCTTGGTAGTTATGTTTATTCAATGTATAGGCTTGTTTAGACTCTAGAGCTTTTACTGAGTTCTGCTGTGAGTCACAAATCAAATATTTGTAGATTCTGTAATGGTACTGACAATTAGATGAACTCTATTAATCAGTTAGCATGAGCTAATTGACCTGGAGGATTAACATGCCTAAATAAAAAGCTATTTCAACATACCAATGCATACTCAACCACAGTAACTGTAATCCAAATGTCTCGTTTCTTGCAGGAGAGCAGTAATAAATAAAAATATTTCATCAACATTTTCCAACATTGCTCGCGAAGTACTAATATGTTTTCATTGTAACAGGGAGCTAAAATATACAACTAAGAATAACTCCTGTAGGAAACTTGTAACCACCCTTTTTCACTGATTATTTTTTTTCCCACATTGTTGAAAAAAAACCCAGAATTTGTTTTCCCGAGTCATTTATTAAAAGCCCTGCCCTTCTGTATGTGGCCTGTCATCTGCCTGAGGTCTTTGTCCTGGATGCACACAGTTTAGGAAGTAGGAGGAATAGCAGTAAGGCAAAGACTGCTCTTTGTTAGCCAGATCTGAGGATAAATTATTAGGTAAAATACAAGGATTAGTAAATTGGGACCAGTTTACTGCACTACAGAGGCCTTTGGAAGGATCTACTTTAAAAATTCCATCTAACAATAAAGTACAGGAATATGCAAAATGTAAAAATAAAGACAGATTATCAAGTTATTTCTTTTATAAAGACAAGATTTCCTATTCTACATTTTTTAGAAGGCACAAGTATTTATCTGAGGCAGACTGCACACTTACCATCCTTTCCACAATTATGATCTTTGGTCCAAGTTGTTTGTGAATTGCAAAAATATGGATAAGTCTAAGTGTAAACACCATAAAGTCAATGGCGAGTATTGTACGGCCAGCTTGAAAAGTTGAATTCAGCATCCTGCAGAAGACATGGAATGAAATATCAGCTCTCAGCAAGTACTGCTAATGTCCATAAAGTGATGAGAAATAACCAAAATATGAAGGAACACTCTTTTCTCTCTCTTGGCTTCAATGAGATTTATTAACAAATAATAAAATATAAGGTACTTTGAGTAAAAGGGATTTCAGAAAACAAACAAACAAAGCAGAGCTTTTCAGCAGATGTGTTTGAATGTATCAATTCTAGAGGCTCCTACTGCAGAAACACATCTCAAAGCCTGTAAAAATGAGTGTTAGAGCCTGTCCTCTCATGCACGAGACTCAGCTGTCAGTTGATGCACAGAGCCCTTGGTACTAATGCAAATATATACCTGCAGATTACCCCAATTATGAAGAGAAAGATGGTCACCATGTCACATTTATTCCAGTTATCTTCCACATACAGTTTAAACTTTTTCATTAAATTTGTGTCTTCATCTGTATAGAAGCTCTGAAAAAGAGAAATAACCATTGGTATTGATAGCTTTCCACTTTCACTATTTCTTTCTGAGTTTTTCCATGATACCTGTTGCCTTTTTCTCTTTCATTGCAAAGAACAAAAACAAATTCTGAGTGTAATAACGAAAAACAAAAAGCTGTTAAACAATGCAGTTTCCAGTCAGAGTTCAGTTTCTAGGCATTGCTATCTAAACAGCATGAAGAGATTTGGCATTTCGGTGCTGGAATTGTCAATGAAGGCACACTTGTATATCTAGGCAAGGAGTTGGCTTTCTTAATTGGGTTTTTGCCTGGCAGTCTTCATGTTTTACAGGTTTATAATGAAATGTTCTTTGATCCAGTTATTTTCCAAGTCCTCCTCTGTTAATGGCCTTGCTGCATAATTTCAAATAAATTGTGACAAACTTTCCTGTCTCTTTTGCTTAAATAATGAGGATCTACTGGTTCTTCCAGAGTAAATGATTGTAACTGCTTTTTTTTTTTTTTTTTTTTGTCTAAAGAGAAGAGCTTTGTGCAACTCACAGTTACAACACACTTGCACCACTGTTACTGTTTCAGTTTAAACTGAGGACTTTCCAAAACCAGTAATAGGAGACTAATGGAGGAGGCTTTCCGGGGTTGGTGGTTTTGTTTGGATGTGTTTTTTTTTAAGAAAAGCAAGCCCAAAGGAGATCTGCTAATATTTTGAGTTTGAAAGTATTTTAGGAAAAGCCACAAATAATCTGAATTAATTTACTTGTGATTTTTTAAACAGTCTCCAGCAAGGAAGAATCTCCTAAAAAGATATAGAGCTGTCTGCTGTGTTTCCAGGTGTAGAATATAACTTCCAACTTACATTTTTTTGTAGTGGGAGGACCTAGTTCTACGGAGTGAAATCAGAGAAGGCCTTTACAAAACAGAGAATATCTGAATGCTGGCAGCCCACTGGACTTGGCTAAGGCTGCAGTAGGATGGAAAAACAGAGGTAGAGATAAAGGTTTATATGGTAGAGGAAGAGCTTGCTCTGGGAGAGCAAGGTGAGATGTTTAGGATAAGGTAAGTTCTGTGTTGTTCTGTTCACCTGACACTTGAAATCTCAAAGCCTGCTCAGTTATACAGACTGTAAATCTATTGAGAATACTGCTGCAGGTTGTGCTGTGCTGGCACTGAGGTGATGCAGGTTACTCACCTGTCGGATCTCTTCCAAGACAAGGGTGAACACCCAGAAGTAGAGTACAATTTCTTTAACAGATGGACCCTGAGGTGGAGGTGGTTTAAAGTCTAGTAAAAGGACATAAGTAAACAGAAAGAGAAAAGCAAAGTACATTATAACATTCCCCATAAACACAGTTACAGGGGCACTCCAGAATTTTCTCCACCGGGTAAACACGAATGCTGGCCATGCTGTGTTTGCAGAAGGGTTCTGTTTTCCCAATGTGTCAGTACCTCTGCAAACAAAAAAGAACACATGCTTGGTGACAATATCCTAAAATTAGTTCATGGGAATAAGCTCAATTATTCTATATAAAGCTTATTGTAAGATAGTAACAAGCAAATGCTGGGGCTGGCCAAGGGGGAAGGCTGTAGAAGTCAGAGCAATCATATGACCAGAGCAGAAATATTTCAAATCAAGAAGAAGGTTTTGAAAAATGAAGGCACATCAGAATTATGTGTGCATTTTTATTGTTTCAGTTTATTTGTATTAATTTTATTTGTAAACTTCATTGTGCTCTGCATGGACTGCAAATGCACAAGGAGAGGAGGAAGGGTAATTGGCCTTTATAAACCTAAATAATGGGAAAGAAAAGAAAATGGCCAATGAATTTTTGTGAGTCAGCTCTTAATTATTTTGGCTTTAAAATTTCTTGAAGTGTTTGTCTGTGGAAGTTCTTGCTGTTGCTGTGACTTTGAACTTCTGACCCAGTCTGCAAGTGCTCTGTTGTATTTAGCCTGTGTTTCTTGACTATCCTTGCTGGAATCTGATAGACCTACTGAAGAATACCTTGCTCCTTTGTGTAACTGGCATCTTGCCCTTCATTATTAAATTAAAGTTGAAAAAAAAGCAATATAGAAGCCTTTTAGCAAAAAGAGTTGACCTCATAAAATATGTATTAAGGTAGTCTTTGAGTGGTGTGGAATGATGTATTTTGGTAACTGAAGGGAAATTTGACCTGTACATTTATGGCTGTTTTGCTGTGTTTTGGAACATGAAGTGGTATCTATTGGTAATGGAAAATATCCTGTGCAGAAAATGCAAGTTTGATAGCAATTTGATCTTTGTGTGAGGATTTGTTTCCCCATAAAATGCTCTCCTGTGTAAGCTAGGGATGTTATTGGACCTTTAATTTTGTGATTCTTACTCTGAGAAGTTTGATCTCCAACAAAGGATGTGCACACTAGGGTAGGTTTTCAATTTCGCCTCACAGAAAATAAACAATGACTCTTCACTGGTTTTTCATTTCCTCTGATGATCTTGCTAATTATTAGATACATTTGTTACAAGGAAAAAGTTCTCTTTGCGGCCAATCTTTTCTATATGCCTGATTCTGCACTACCTCTCAATTTATGACATCATGAGATACATTCCCATGGTAACTGGCTAATATCATAAACAGATAATTGCAGCTTTACTGTAAGATGCTGAAATAGATCTGGGACGGAGAGAGCCTCTTTGTTAAAATAAATTGCTAGGATAATAGCAATTGGAACATGGAATGTAATGACCAAGCCATGCTGCACTCAGGATATGGAAGTGCTTTATGATATTGCTTACAAATAGCTCCCAAGAGGCAGATGCTTTTACACCTATTTTATAGGTTAGGGAGGGAAAGAGAAGAACTAATGATTTTCTCCAATATACCAGCAGTTAAATGCCAGAGGTAAAAATAGAACCTAATAACTCTGACTTGGTCCAGGACTTCATACTGCAGCTGATGCTTCCTCTCTACCACTGTTCACCTATTTCTGGAGTTCTCTTTAAATCATGGAAAAGCTAACTGGCAATTTAGCACTATTTAGCCTTTAAGAGGACTTTGTGCCAATCAAAGGTCTACTTATACTGACTTAAGTGCTTGTGGCCTCCCAGGATTTGGTGATAAGTGTGAGGTAGAGGTATAGGAGGGGATTCTGATCTGAATCAAAGATCTATGACTGACCACAAGCAACTGACAAAACCTTTGTGCTCAGTTACCCATTTGTGTGATGCTCCCTCTAACTTATAAGTTCCCCAGGGCTCATCTGTTAAAATTCAAATTAAGAGCATGAGAAGCTGACTCGATGTAAATTTCCCTAGTACTGATGGGTGCAAGTACACCTTTGTAAGAAAGTACAGTGATGTAAGGTTTTCCTGAGAACCTTCTTTCTGCAGTAATCTGAAAAACTCCTAAAATCCATTGTCTATCAGTCACCATGAGCTGATGGGAATGTCAGGAAATGCTATGTGATTCCCAAGTAAATTCCTTGTTCTGGATAAATTACCTGCTCAGAAAAAATAAACTGATGTCTCCTTAAAGCAGTGCTATATCCTTTTTATTTTCTATATTCCTTTTAGAGAGCAAGAACAGCAGTAATCAAAGGGTACAACACTTCCTGAGCAGTAATGACTTCCTTGGCCCTTCAGCTGCTTCTTAGATCCTTAGAAAAGTCACATTAGCTGATGGTTTTAAACTTACCTATCTTCCTTGGAGAAAAACAGAGTCCTCTCTGAATCCAAACTGTCCAGCTCTCTAAATGGCTCTGGCTCATTCTTTGATTGTTTTTCCTCACTGTAAGGAAATAAACTCATTAGTTAAAAGATGATGCTTAGCCATTTTTCACTACTGAATTGGCATTGATACAGAACTGCAACTAATTTTGGATCTGCTCTGCTGAGGAGCTATTAAATAGGGCATAAATTTTATCTTTACAAATTCTGTTTGTTTTTAAGAAGGAGGCTGAAGTCACCCACAAGATTCAGAGAAGTGATAATTGGCATGCTTCACAAAAATGGAGCAGGATGTTCAGTTTCCTCAAACTAGTTAGGATTTCAGCAGAAGTAAACCCCTCAGTCAGTCTTAGAAGAGAATTGCTCAATGCTCCATTCCTAGTTAGTAGCAATTAAGAAGGGAAATGCCAGAAGCAATAGGGGACACGTGACAGTTCTTGCATTTTCAGGGAAAGGAGGCAAAAAATGGAAATTTGAAAAGGATTGCTTTGATTATGTATAATAATTCAAACCTTCCATGGAAACTTTGCCAAAATATCACATTAAATGAATTTGTGAATCTGGCAGCCAGAAGGTCATCTTTAGTGATACTGGCAGAAGGCAAATCTTAAGTCAGCATTGCCAAACAAGTTTTCCTCTTGCTTTTTATGTTGTTTAAGAGTTAAGAAACATATATTTCATAATAACATGTCATTTCATATTGCTAATTCTTATTATTTATATAGGATTCTCTGAATGTTTGAGGTTTTCCTAAAGTTTCAGAACCACAATTTTTGCAACCAAAAGAGCTTGGCTGCTCTTTTTTTCTCTTCTGTTGTTTTTTTTTTTTTTTTTTTAATTTAATTTAGTTGGTTGGTTTTTGTGGTGTGAGGTTTTTGTTTTGTTTTGTTGGTATTTATAGTGCATGGACTCTTTTTCAAGAAAAACTAAGGCACTGAATTTGAAAATCTTACTTGATTTTGATTGACAGATAATTTAATGTCAGTCCCATGTTTTTAAGCTTGACTTATGGTTATCAAGGCTTGTGGCTGATAACATTGCTTTGTGATGGCTGTTTTCCTTGGATAGGATACTGAGGTTTGAGCCAGGCATCTCCAAATCTAGAAACAATTCTAAATTGCTGTTTAGAATCTGGAGCTGACAGAATTCCAACAGACTTTCCTGTGGACTGTGCAAAATAGAATGATCTCTGTGAAACCGTGGCCTTGATCTTTTAAGTATGGCAACAGGACACACAAATCACTCAGCCCCATAGAAAACTGATTTGGTTAGGTGATATTAGATGATGTTACTGTTTTAATGATTCAGGGAGAAGTTTTGAGTCTGAATATTTTTTATGGCTTATTTTTCATCACTTACTTATTTATCTCTTGTACCAAAATACTTATGTTTATACCTGAATGATATTAAATTGGTGTAGATTAGGAAAGGACACCAGAATGCACAAATTAACTTGAGGATCTGTGTGCTTGTAGACATGTCTCCCCACCATATTTTTGTCAGGAAGGCCTGAAAGTCCAGAAGAGAAAAGATGGCTTTAATATCACAAAAAGATACTTGCAGATGAAGTACACCTACTTTCAGTGACTCCTATGCTCTGAAAACCTCACAGCTTCTGGGCAAACAGGTTCTCTGTGTGTCCTTCTGCAGATGTTGAGTATGCAAAGAGTTATTTGGAGACCAGTGGAAAGAACAGCAAGCCAAATGGAATTAAGCAACATCTGTAGTACTAAGGAAGCCCAAGTCGGGCACTAGAAGATAAAAGCAGCATCAGTCTTAATTTAGCTTTGTGTAAGCGGAGAGAAGTCAGGTTGTGAGAGCAAAGCTGAATAGTAATTTAATTTAACTTTTATCGGTGAACTCTCTCTTGAATCTGAACAAGGAGTTACCTCACATCTTGGAGCAGCTTCATTATGCCCCAGGCAGGTTTACAGTGCTTTTCTGTGAGCAAGAAAGGAATAAAAAGCAAAAAAGCACACGATGGATTAAGGGCTAAACCTTCTCAGCACACTGCTCTGTGTGCCAGCTGGATGAGAAGGTGGGGAAAGGGGGAATTGTGCTGCTTTGGCAAGGACATGGTACAATGTCCTCTTAGTTGGTTGCTAGGGGGAGAGAAGAGTCCTATCTCTGAAGAATGGTTCTCAGGGGAATACATTCATTGGGGTTGTTCAGTTCCTGTGCTACCCTCTCCTGTGTCCAACATAAGGTCCATGTAAAACTTACCTGGACACCATCATGTGCAAAGAAAGACTTTGCATCTGCTTCTGTGGCCAGCTGAAGGCACGTGGTTTTGCTCCAGTACTGATTTTTCCTCACCAACAGAGCAAATGCTCTCTCCTCACTGTCGTGGTAGCATTCACTAAACAGTTCTGCCATATGAATGAAACACAGACAAAAAAATCTATCTCTTGGGTGATCCTCTTACACTTTGAAGGATGAGTTGTCATGCTGTCCTTGCTTTTGTGAACAGACTAAAGAAGACAAACAGCCCAGCTTTTTATTGTAGACAACAAATCCTTCATTTTGAGACAGACCTACTTGTCATAAAATAATATTAGACTTGGTCGAGTGTTATGACATAATTGTTTCCAGAGAAACTGGTCCTGGAGCTTAGAAACCAGGATAAATTTAATGAGTCAAAAAAACCCACCACCAACCAAAAAAAAAACCAAAAACCCAAAGAAAACAAGACAAAAAAACCCCACCAAAACAAAAAAACACCACCGACAAAAAAACCCTAAAAAATCCCCCAAAAAACCCCAAGATCTTCTCATCAGACAAGACCTGACTTCTCATGTCTGTTTCATTCTAGTGATTCACTTGATTATCTCAGTACCTTTCCCAAGCCAGCCTACACTGTGAGGCTGGGCAAAAAGGTCACGTGCACTTAAAATTATATACAGATATCTTTTCTTGTTGATGTGGTATTTATCATTTTTAAAGAAAGTTTGCTTTGCATAATCCAGGACAGAAATTAAAACTGAAGATCTGATCTGATACTTATCAAAGCCAAGAAGCAAAAATTCTTTGTATTGGATTAGGCCTCATAATTACTCAAGCCCTGTGATTATCTGCGAGCCTCATTTTAATCTCATTTTTAATTTTTGTAAATAATAATGGCTCTGTGAGAAGAAAGGAAAATGTGATCTCTGTGTAAATAATGCAGCAACGCCTGCATGAACCTTCAGCTGCTTGATGAACTACCTCAAAGGAAGAGGAGCATGTGGGACATATTTTAAAGCCCTCTCTTCACAACAGTGAAGGTATGGATTGGACTGAAGTCAGATCAGCAGAGAAGCTTGTGTGCAGACATCTGTTTCTACAGCAAGCAAAGGGGAGAGGGCTCAGCATTCCAGCATTGCGGATGCCTGGATCTGACTGCTGTAGGGAGGGGCATCTTGTCTGCTGCAAAACCAGCCTGAGCCTCACTGCAGTTTGCAGTGCACTTGGCCCTCTTCTGGGTGAGGTAATCTCAAATTATTTTTAGCTGCAATGACAAAACTTAAAGCTTGTTGCTGTAGTGGCCCTTACAGAGCAAGCTTGATATTGCAGGAAGATCAGGCTGCTGTGAGCCTGGAAGTGTTTTGGTTATTCTATCTTTCACATCACTGTAACACACCTTGTACTAAGATCAGACAATTAAAATACCAACAAGCAGTAGGAGTATATCTGTGCACCCCAAGGGGCCTGTCTTGGAACAGAGATTTTTCCAAAATGAGTGGGGTTTAAATCTTTCCTCTGTATCTGAATGTTTGGGACTGCCTGTGCTGCAAGGCTGTTAAATTATTCATGACAGTTGACCTTTTATGACTGAAACTGTATTTTTTTTTTTCCACTTGCTTGCCTTCCAATGGCAGTTCCTTCACAAATTTTCTATGCCATTCAAAAAATGCCATTACTTACCAACAGCGAGCTGCTCATACTTGGCCTCTTTCATTATACAGGCTGCTTTGGTCTCCATCTCCAGGCGGGACATCTCTTTCAGGATCTTGCAGGCTGCCAGAGCCGAAGCTACACCCTCCTGACCCTGTAGAATTGAAAGGGGCGCTGCTGCCACCCTCCCCTGGATTCTGACCGGGGAATACTCCGCTATGCAGCACATAGCAAAAAGTTCATGCCTTTCACAAAAAAAAATCTTCCCTCCAATACAGATTTGAAAGTCGAAAATGATGATATTTTAGAATTAAAGCCCTGTATTGTGGGTGCCCCATTCCTGGAAGTGTTCAAGGCCAGGCTGGATGGGGCAAACCTATCTAGTGGAAGGTGCTGGGCGTTGGATCTTTAAGGTCATTTCCAAGCCAACCTATTCCACGATTCTTTAGTTCTTGTGCCTTGTAAGGCTGGAGACTTCCAGGCTCTTTGAGGGACCTGAGTTGGGATAGCAGTCAAGGACTAAAAGGCGAATAATATGCTTTGGAAATAGAGCAGCACATTCTCCCCGTGTCGGGATGCCTCCAGCAGGGCTGTGCTGGGACAGGGGTGCAGGAGAAGGAGGGAGCTGTGCTGGGACAGGGGTGCAGAAGAAGGAGCGAACACAGCGGCAGAGGCACAGCCATGGCCCGGAGCAGGCCGTGCGGTGTGACCGCGGCTCCAGGCCGCAGGGCCCGCACGGGGCCGATGTGTCCGCACGCACACAGCCCGGGCTGCCCCGGCCAGATGGAGCTTAGAGCTCTCCTCTCTCTCTGTGGGGGCAGGGAGGCTCCCAGATGCGGGGGACAGGGCTGGCTTGTGAAACAGGAGCCGATTATGCCAGCTCGGAGCTCAGCCTTGGGGAGCGCGATGCTGCTCCCTAGGCACGTAAGCTGAAGATGCTTCACTTCTCCGTCTTCTCTCCCGTCACGCTCGGCCCGAACAATCGCGGACTGTGGGAGCACAAGCCCGGCTCCGGGAGCTGTGACTCATCGGGAGCAGCGGGGCTGCGGCCCGAGCTGATTTACACCTGCTCGGCTCCCGCCCCGGCCCCCGCGGGAAGAGCCACGCAGAGATGAAAGGCCTCATAAATGCCACCTCTCGTGTATTGGAAACGAACCGATCTGTCATCTGAGCTGCAAGGCTGAGCGAAAAAAACATCTCGTAAACTTGAAATATGCCATTACTTCACCTGAAGCAGCTGCAGCTCAGAGCTTACCATAGCCCAGAAGTAGTTTGCCATCTTGTGCCGGTTTTGAAGTACTGCCCATACAAACAAATCCCTCCAAGGATTTTCGCTTTTCTGGTTCATGTCCAAGGGCCCAGGTAGTCGCTTTGTGTTCGTTTTGTCCTGAAATATGGTTTGAAAAATTTAACACCTGGTTGACAGTCTCGCTCCATGCAAATGACACGATCTAAGATGCTCTCAGCTTCGCTGGCTACTTCACATTTCTTTGACTTTTCAGTAGGACCAAAAGGTAATTAGCTCATTCTGTACTGAGTTAAAGGATCCTTGTGTCCCTGATATAACCCTATACGTGTGAGAACATTCTGGATGAAATGGTGACTCCGTTGAAGCCAATGCTAAAGTTTTCATTGACTTTATTGAAGCTGGGGTTTCACCACTGGTGTGTAATATCAGACAAGACAGACCTGTGATTAACTAATCTGAGCTTGCCCTCAATTATATCAGACTCTGCTCTGCTGCCACAGAGGACAAGGCTTCAGAGAAAAGAGAACAAAAGGCATTTTATTTCATCAGAAATAAATCTCACCAAGGCCCTGTATGGGACAAGAATAGAGTACGTCAATACCCCTTTTTAGTCCTTCCTTTGAGAAACCTTTCCCTCATGCAGAGAGCAGTTTAAGTAGAACACTGCTTATTCCTTTAGCACTTGATAAAAAAATAGCCTAGAGGAAGTGCAGCCACTTAGGTCAAGTTCTGAGTTTTAAGTCTATTTAAAAACTACCTTTTTATCTATTGTGTTGGTTAAAAGCAGCCAGGGTGTATTTATTTTTAATTAAACAGGTTTTTGTGAGAATATATTTTTTAATAATTTAAATGATGGGATTCTGTTCAAATTTATTTTAATGGCACTTTTGGGGGATTTGGGGTGGGGCTGTTTCTTCAGTTTGTAGTGAGCTATTGGATCAAATAAATTACCTTGAAAGCCTTGCAGGAGACAAAGATATCAAAGGTCTCATCTGTTTTTTTAACCACTAGTTCTTAACTTGAAAAAAGACACACGGTTTGGCAGCAGTGATGCTGGTTTCCCAGTACTGTGATGCTCTTTCTGTTGCCAGTGATAATGGGATTCAGCCATGGGAAGAAGCTTTAAAAGGGAAAAAGCTAGTAGGCAGCAGGAGCTGATCTCTGAATTGTGCCTTATCTACTGCACTGGGCTTTAGCTCACTTGCTGCCAAATGCCAGAAAGGTTAAGTGAGGCTTTGGGGGCAAATTTTTACTTCTGGCGAGTTTGTAAGTCTGGAGTATGCTTACTGACTTCAGAGCTATTGTCTCAAGTTTTTCATCCTTGTGAATGAAGAAAGGCTGAGTAGATTCAAACTTAACTTTTCCTACTAGTATTTAATTTAGCTAATCTTTATCAAAGCAAAAGTGATTTAATGTCTCAAATAAATTTTTTTTTTAAAATTAGTTTCTAGTTTTAACAGCTTTTTAGGCGTAATTAGAACTTGGCAAATACCAAAAGGTTCAATTGTTTTGTTTGTCTGAAACTAAACCCTAATGCAATTTCTTTATACATCTTTGTTTTGAAACCTTTCACCCAAACTTATTTTCAATGTTTTTGTAAGCACTTTGGTACTTAGGCGGTTCAATGTTAAATACACTGTCAAAATGCAAAAATGATGATGCATTTATTGCACCACTGTGGATTATAGATATTCCACATTGGTACCCCCGTCACATATTATCCTCATCATATGTTGGCCAGCACACTTTCCAGGGCCACACACAATTGTTCCTATTTCTTGCTCTGCGTTCTGGCACTCCATAAAAAGTCTTAAATGATCTAAAGGCAAATATCAAATACTGGGTATCAATATCTGAGTTTAGTCTACTCGTACAGAGTATAAATCTGAGAATAGTTTTGTGTACAAAGATGACAATTTTCAGACCTGAGATTGAAAATCTCCATTGCCTGCTTTTCTTTCTCCTTAAAAACAATTGCCTTTCCAATACTACTTCTTGATGTTCTGTATGAGAAAAGCAGACTACTATTTTTATGTCAAATTACTCCTTAGTAAATGTAAATATTATTTGTATTCCCCTAACATCTTTAACTAAATCAGTTCCCTGCCTCACCCCAAAGACTAGACCTAATTAAAACTGTACAAATTCTAAATTAGAGGGGAGCAATGATGCAAAGTTGTGACTCACAGATTTCTTCTTGCCTCCATGTCTGAGGTCTTGATAGAAACCTTTGCATGCATCATGGAGAAAATCCTTGAGAACTCTAGAGACCTCACTGAGAGTGAAGAGAGGGCAGATCTCCTTCTGCTCACTTTGCTGCTGACCAGTGAGCCCTGCCAAGGTCAGTTTGCTTTCTTCATGCTTCTTCAGGAGAAGTTCATAGAGGAGACATTTCTGAGAAATGGAACAGTAGAGTCTCTGCAGACGACTGTAGGTCAGGAAGTCATATATGTTAGCCCCATTGTCAATAAATAACTTTACAAATTCTGGTTTGTTGTTGACTAGAGCATCCATCATCACTTCCTCCAGGTCACAGGACTAGATTGATGAAAGAGAAAGAAAAGAAAAAAGAAAAAAAAAAACAATCAAAAAAAGAAAATTTTGGGATGTAATCATGGGTCTATGATGAGAGAGTTTAGATTTGATATGAACATTTTGTCTTCCACCAGTCAGCAGTGAGTACAATGAGAAAGAGGTGGAAGTATCTTAATTTTTCTCTGACAAAATGTCTGTGCCAGCATTAATGTTACAACATCAACATAAATTGTGTGCTATTGGACTTGATGTGACGTACCTACCACACTGGGTATTTATGCAGCAGTTGAAAACAGTGACTGTTCATCTACCTCCTAACAGTAATATCTGCCTGCTTCTTGGGCTTTGTAAACTTTGGTGTATTTGCTTTAAAGGCCTTACACAGAAGGGGAGAAAGATTGTTGCTCTCAGACAGCTCAAGAAAGGGATGATGACCACTGAGTTATTCCGCTGTCTTTAGCCATTATCATACAGGGGGCTAGAAAGACAAACAGCCTCAGGAAATATAATATCCCTGCCAGTCTCTCAGTAGAGTGTGCAGGTAGTGGTAAAATATGAATGTATCTTTTGGAATGCTCCAGCATCCTGTACACATTGGAATATACACTGAGTATCCTCTAAGGCAAAAAAACCCTGGTACCTTCCACTCCACGTCACCATTGAATATTTCGCTTTTAGCAATGTCAACCCTGTTCCAGGCCACTGCCAGTTTCAGTTCTTCCAGATATTCCTTAGCCTCCTGACTCTGACTTTTACAGGCTGGAAAAAAATAGGAAATGTAAATAAAATCAGTACTTTACAGTTATGTTTGATTTAATATGGTATTGGTACTTTGATTAGCAATGCAAGTTCTTCTTCACCTGTCACAGATACCTGAAGGAGAACTGTGGGCTGCTTAACCAGAAACCCTTCACAGCAATGTTTTCCCAAATTAAGAAACATTAATATTCAATATGTTATTTTTTTCCTATATGAACTCTATTAAAAGCATTAAGTTTAAATGGCTGTTGGATATTAAGAGGGACATTGGCCTGCAGAAGGCAGGGGACAGAACTGGCTGCTGGTTTTGCTTTGTGTCAATTAGCACATCAGAAACAAGATGTCTTTTTTTTTTTCCCTCCCATGCTAAGTTTAAGCTAACACAAACTATTAAGTTAACAGAATCTGAAATAGATAGCAGCACAAGTAATGTCTTCTTTCAGAAGATATAGTGGAGATTTCTTATAGGAGAAATGGATTGTTTCTAGCAGTAGTTTTGGTCTACTTGGGGGTTTTGGTTTTGTTTTCAATGGAGTTTTTTTTATGGTTTAATTGGAATAATATACTGCTCCAGTATATTTCAGTTCTTATATAGCCTCTGTTATTAAGAGAAGCAAATAGTGAAGTAAAGGAGTGGCTAAAATAGTATCATACAATAGCATGAGATTAAAAAGCAAACACTAGTTTAAAGGAAGCTTACAAGACCTACAGTAACTGCCACAGTTAATTTGTCAATAAACATATAAAAGAACGGGGCATCAGAAATGAAATCTGACCCAATAGTCAAATGAATTCGTTCTGGGAAAAGAGGAAATATATTTATGGCATAGAAGTCAAATAAGACAAACATTACTATGTTTGCTTATTGTATCTTACCTTTTACTAAGGCTTTTAAAATTACTGTGTCTAATTCTTCGGAACTGTCTTGCTCAAAGTTGTGCAGAGTTAGAAGGTGCTGGTGTGAAATAATGTTCTGAATCTATTCAGAGTCAAAACAAAAGTAATTTTACACATTGTCCTTTGGACGCACATTAGTGCCCAAATGCCCAGTGGAGATCACCCAGATGGTATTTCCCAAAAATTTATGTTCTAATTGTAAAGCTGAGGTTTGGCAAGGCCAGTATTATTAGTTTCCCATATATAAATAACTCCTATGGCAAGGAGGGCGTTACTGCCTTTTCCAGGACAGAAGGAACAGAACTTGGATATTCTGAGAACCAGAGCAGTGCTTTAATTAAAAGATCCTTCCTTAACTTACATTCTTATTTGACTCAAAGTCACATTGTAGCCAGCATACACTAGTTTCATTTTACCTCATCCTGCTTTGACATTTAAGTTTTGCTCTCCGAGTTGTTTATTTAAAAGCATAGTCTCTAACTCTTCTCTGAGCAAAAGTGCTCAAATATTGATATATATACAGTACTCTTACCTTTCCTTCTGCTTCTCTATTTATTGAGTTTTCTTTCTCACAGTGCAGCTGCACTGAGACTTTGTGAGCCTCTGGCAATATTTCTTCCAGATGCCTTTCATCCCCTTTTGTTAGTGATCTAGTAAAGTTCTTCCTAATGGAATTAGTTTGTGGAACTTTTAAAGCTGAAGATTGTGGTGGGGAATGCAAAGAATAAGTAGTGAGCCAGGTCAGGTGGACTTGGTTTATCTCAGAGGCACCCAGTGCTCTTCGCTCTTCACACAAGGACAATCTCAGAGTGGGTGTTTGTTCCTAAAAGGCTTATGCAAGTGTACCCAAGACAAAGAGTAAAGAAGATCTCTGAATCTGTTTTGTCTTTCTGTTTTAAGAACAATGACACTTAAAGAACAAGTAACTGACAATAGATAGGATAATTTCTAAACACGTTTCATTCTACTTAATTTATTCATGCTTATCCACAACAAGGTTTCCATTTAACAGCTGTAGATCATGAATTAGGTCTCTTCTGTCACAGCTGCACGAGCTCCGCAGCTGTGGATATAAATAATGCTTCGTGTCCTACAGAAGGACTGTCGGGTTCCTGGGTGCTGGCTGTTACTTGAGGAAGTAATTGAGGAAGGACAGAGCCCTCAGTGTTCAGCTGAATTACTGGGGCAGCAAAGTAGTTTGCATGATCAAATGACAACTCGATTTTTAATGCTAGAGAGGCATTCTATGACACCAGTGTCAAAGCACTAGAGTTCCCAAAACTTCTGAGCAGCTTCTTGCCAAACCTGTACTGAAGGGGCTACCAAAGCTACAAGTATTAGGAAAAGGCTCTGTGAACATGATGGCTTATCAAAGACACAAGCTCACCATAACTGTCCACTGGAGAATGTCCTTCCATGAGAAGCTCTTTGAAGGGAATTTCTCCTTAAATTGATTTTCAACAGCTTCTGGCATGATAAGCTGTGGGTCATTGATGAATGCAGCTAAGATGTCAGCTGTACCTCCAGACCCTGCTAAGATAAGCCAGGGAGCAGAATTTTCCAACCCGCTGCAAATTCTCTGTAGTTTAAAACAGGACGTTTTTAGAATGTATAAGTGGAAAGAAAATGTTATTCAAAAGAAGAACTTCTAGCAAACCAGGAATAAATGTGTACCTAAGTCATATTCACTATGGAAGCAGTCCAGACTCCTCTAAGCTATCAGGATTTTTTGAATTCTGTAGCAGGTCATCCAAGTGTAGGCCTCTGACTATGCTTCTTTTCATGACACATCTGCTGTGTAGCTAAGCAACCTGATTTGGATAAACAATGCATAAAATTTCTTTGACCTTGACATTTTTTTCCCTGAAGTCTCTGTTTCAGCATAGTCAAGTGCAAAAAAAATTATTAGTAGGCTTTTTTGTATAGGCTTTTTTTTTTTTTTTTCCTGTCTGTTAAACCTGGCAATATGTTCTGAAAATCAGGAATTTGCCTGTGGGAATACAACATTGAGATACAGGAAAAAAACCCACTGAATCATAGCAACTACAAGAGTTAAAGGCTACTAATTCTATTAGTTGTGCAATTAGAATGAGTCAGGCAGGTTGTTGAGAGAGGAAAGCAGAGGCCATGGCATCATAATTGCAAAAATATCTATTTGCTGCCTGTCTGTTTCTTCCTCTGGAGTTATACAAGACTGCATTGATTCAATTGTGGTGCAGGGATTTTTTTTCTTTAGTTTAGGTATTGAGGTTTTTAAAAACTGTTCATAGTCTCTGGTGTGTATTTTCCATTTTAAGAAATCCATTTAAGAACTTGATATTCTAAAAAAGTGTGGCCAGTCATCCATTCCCAGCACATGTCAGTTTAGAGCAACTCCAGCCAGTCACTTTTTGTCTTCCAGTCACACTGTTCTGTAAAACTTTGAAAAGAGGATTTACATGTCATAACATGGGATTTTTCTAAACCAAAGATATAGGAAACACTTCAATATTTAGCTTCTCATGAAAGAAAGAAAGCAAGCTCATGAGGTGACATAATCTTTGTTTAAGCAGTGAGATTTCTAATATGAGTGTGTGTTTTAGTCCATCAGACAAAAGTTATGACAAGATACAAAAAGGTGAAACTAGAAAAAATCCCCAGAAAGGAGTCATTATTCTGGAAATGGGTTACCAGCTTGCATTTCACAGTCTCAGTACTTGGAAACCTTCAATTACACTTAAATTATGTCTCTCTAAAGGTTTTCTAGACTGAGAGCATTACAAAAAAGAAAAGTAAAATAGAATAAAAATCAAAGACTATCTCTTTGTTAACAAATTCTTTAAGCTGTAGAACACTCGAAAAAAAAAAATCAAAACTGATCTTTTGCTGAAGAAGATTTGGGATTTTTATCAGGCAACACTCCAGTCTTTAATCCTGCAATGTACTTTTGCTCAGTGGAACCAGGAGACTCCCATTTCAAATGGCACATCCAGCAAACCTGGTCTTGTGCTTCCTCTGAGCTCTGGAACAGGCAGCTGTGTCATTGTTGCTGAACAGCACTAAAAGATTCCTCCTCTCTTTTTTTGCATATGTTCTCAAGTTATAACAGAATATTTCTGTTTCCCTAAATCTGGAGCTGGTTTCTGTGAGTTTGTTTTGGGTTTGGATTCTTTCTTCCCACTGGACAAGATGGCAATGGAAGTTTTAATAATCAGCTGGTGCCTATTCAAATGTAAATATTTCTGTCAAACAAATATTGTCAAATTTAATATTAACAGAACTCAGTTCTTAATGGTGTATAGATGTGAATTTGACTTTATGTGAAGTGCCAATAGATGCGTTTGTCATCCAGCCAAATCTTCCATTAATTACTTGGCACCAGTTAATTTATTTTTCTAAAGTTGAAAACAGCTTCTTACCTCAAGCGTGCCTGGTCCTCCATTTACCAGTAAGCAAAGCACAGGGATCTCGATGCTACCCGTTCCTGTGAAATAGAAGGCTTAATTTTTAAAAAGTAAAAGCTTTCACAAACCTATTGCTGTTTTGCTGACTCCTTGAAAATATTTCTCCTCTTATGTGCTGTTTTGGTCTCTACATGAAGCTGCAGAAGGATGTGGCAAAGGAGAATAACACTGCCCTAACAGAGGGGTCCTGGCCTAGGATTCAGGACAAAGGCACCTTTGCCTTGGAAATTCTGTGGCAAGCAGTCCAGGCTGTTCTGACCTCAGCTGCAGAATATGGATTTTGGCATCTCTGTGTGTCAGGCCACTGCTGGCTTTTTAAGTTCTTTATTTACTGCAGGGTTGTCAGGCTGGGGAACAATGGAGCTGCATTAGGGTGCAGCACAAGGCTGGTGGGTTTCCAGAGAGGCATTACCAGTAAGACACAGTTAGAGGTGAAAAGCTCTCAGTTTGTCCTGGGTGTTATGCATGTGCCTAGTGTGTGCTGGAAGGAGGGACTGAAATCCAGGACAAAAGCCTTATGAAAGGAGGATTTAAGAATATGAAGAGGCTGACTGTGTAGACTGGGCAGGATGAGTCAGATACAAGTTGATAGAAGCCATGAATTTATTACTCTGCTTAAACAGCTTGTAGTTTCATTCAGCACAACCTGGTGTGATGATTAATAATAACACAGTCTGATACTTTTAAAAGAAATGCTAATGAAATATTTAACATGTCATGATATTGGGAGAAGAAAGGAGGTCAGAATCCCTGTCCTAAGCCATCCTCCCACAGGGGCCCACATAGTTTTGCATGGTTTTTACTGTAAATGCTGAATTCTGCAATGCAAAGGTGACTATAGATTGGCCTGAAGGCGCTCAATCAAACAGTAATATCAAGAGATGAATACCTTTTTCAGCTCAAAGATAAAAGGCATTTGGTTCAAACAATTTTTTGATGTTTCCCTTTGTAGATCTCCCAAAACTCAGTACAGATCTCTACTTGCTATTTTTTGTGTCTCTTTTGGATGACTACAGAGATAAGGTTGGACTGAGCTGTAGCCAGGATATGGTTGGCAAGAAACTTAATTTGTTTTACTGAATGGTATTGTATTGACACACCTCTCTAATGTGATGCTCTTTCAAGAGTGACCTCTGGGACTACAGGTTCCTCAAGTATGGTTAAGGCTGCAAATATTCTTCATTTGCCATAGATTTAGTTAAAATTTTGCCAGAGGAGGGTCAGGTGGATTCTGACTTTATGCTGTGAATCTGGAAAGTCCTCAATTGTAAAACATATTCAGTGTATATATATATATATAACACATGTATGTATAAAGTATCTTAAAGACTTATAGGTATTTTGGGGTTTTTTTTCTTTTTCTTTTTTTTTTTTTTTAACAGGGAAATTCCACATGACCTTATTAAAGTGTTGTACTTCAGTAAAACCACATAGCTTTGCTCAGCTTGTTTATAAATGAGCTTAAATGAATGACATTGGTTTTGTTAATAGGAGATAACACTGAATTCAGTATGTTCCAGCAAAGTATTTGTCATATGAATCAGCAGTCTTTGTCAGAATTATGTTCCTCTGAGATTTGTTCAATCAGATTTGGTTGTTGGGCAGAAAGAGGCTGCTTTGTAACTCTCAGCACTGCAACCTCAGGCCACCCTTACAGCCTGCCTGTGGTCATTCCTATCTGAGGTAAGGATTCTTCAGGTGTGTTTGTGCTCTCAGGTATCTCTGTGCTACCACCCCATGGGCTGTGAAAGTGGATGTTCCATTGATGCACACACCTGGGAACAAGTGAGCTCTCCCTCCTGTTTCAGCAGTGCTAGCTTTGCACGTATGACACAAACAAAGCAGAGGTAGAAGTAACTCTATTGTCTCCCAACAACTGAGTTCTTTCCACAAATAGTAGGAGACCTGCCCAATACTCAGTTCTTACTATAAAAGAAGATCACAGAGATTCAGATTGACATTAGATGCTATGGTGTTTACCCAGGATAAGGTGTTATCTCTAAACAAATATGGCTTAAAATATTTCAGAGGGCTTTGGAACAAGTATTTGCTTCCAGTGTGGGAGCAATTCAAGACCCTATATAAAAATATAGAACAAGGACTATCAATCTCTTAGAACCACTGGTAAAGGCACTTGAAGCTGGATTTATTTTCCATAAGTTGTCTTTTAAGGCAATTTGAGCTGTGCTTTGAAGATCAGCTTTGAGCTACATTTAAGGAGATGCAATAAAAGTCCAGATTTTTGGTTCAAAGAGCAGCTTTCTCAACTTCAGAAGTTACCGTCATCGTGCCTCTTACACGATGACAAATGTGTTGACTTGGTCTTGCCTCTGTGGGCCCACTGGGGGCTGGAGTTACCTTTGCTGGGGCTGGGGGTCTGCTGTGCTGTCAGCATTATTCAGATTGGATGGCTCCAGGAGCCTGCTCACCCCTGTATTCCTGCTCACCCCCATATCCTGCTCACCCCCGTATCCCGTGCGCTGCTCTGAGATGTACTTCTCCAAGGTGATGCGGAGCTTGGTGGTTCCATCCAGCTCCTCTGGTGTGGTGTGCTCCACCAAAATGAAATGGGAGTGGTTGTGATCCAGGGAATACAGTGGGCCTTGGGTGCTGTCATCTGACTGGTAGTGGACCAGGCTTTCACTCTAGAGGGAGGAGAGATGATGTCAGTGCTCTCTGCAAAGCCCAGCCTGTGTTTTAATAGCCTTCCTCTCCATTTCTATGCTGTCTGCACCCTGACACAGCTCACCACCTGTGAGACACTTTGATAGACCCTAAAAAAAAGTGAAGATGGAAAATCTGTTCCTTCCGGAAGCAGCCAGATTTGGCAGGACTGTTAGCTGGAGTCCCTGAAGTTTCCCTCTTGGCCTCTGCAAAATACAGTGATATTGATCATCATCTCCGCAGTGCGGGTTTTGGAATGGTTTATTGGACAAATAGAAAGGGGTCATGAGACCTGACAATTGTGTATGGAGAGGTGAAGCCTCCGCTGCTGTAGAGAGGGGCAAACTATTCATTTCAGTTGTGTTTTGTCCATGTTTTGGTCAGTGAATGAGTTAGTCTGCTCCCTGTTAATTTATACACTGCTTTACTTACTTGTCAGGGTTGAAATCTAGTTGAAATTGTCCGGTATGAAATCTGATGGTTATTCTCAGTTTGGAAACTGCATTCTAAAAGAGGGAGTGGCAGACCGATTTTAGAAAGGGGAATTCTCTTTTATTTTGGGTGAGTCGTGTTATACCTTTATTGATGATTTATTGATTTATTTTTTGCACAAACTCATCTTCTAGGTAAAACAGAACCCCTGCTGCAGTCTTTTGTTCTAAATATTGCACTATACATGGGCTTCTATAGGTACACTTTTTCAAACTCCCCTTTCTTTCTCTCTGTTGCCTGTCCACTTTGATACATAATTCTAGGCTGTAAATGTCTGATTATTCTTTTTCATTCTCATAATCATTGTCCTCTTGCAAGCAGGTAGATTAACACAACTGTTTAAAATCTGCATTTCCTTCTATCAGGCCTCTTTTCCAGTTCCTGCAGTGCTGCTGGGCTAAACTCAGACTGTCAGTTTAGCAGCTGTCACTGTGTATTGCATTTTCCTCACACTAAAAAGCAGTAAAATTGCATGTTTCTTTCACTTTCTTCTCTCTGTCTCTCATTCCTTGGGTAAAGCTTCTTGACATAATTAATTTCCTTCAGATTTTGCTTTGACAGAGGGTGTGCCTCTATTCTGCAGCCAGGTAACATTAATCCTCCTCACCAAAGATCTGGCCTTTGATTAGGACTTGAGGCACAACAGCCAATTGAAAAAAGCCTTTGGGGATTTTCCTCTCTATTCCCTGAAAATGTAGAAGTGATCTTTCAATGATGTTTAAAGCATACTATTAACACAGAAGAGGTGGGAGGGTGTTGTAATAAGTAAAGATATTATAAAAGAAAGGCTTTATAAAATTAGGCTTTGTTCTGTTGAATTACCAACTAAGCCTGTAAGTTCCCATAAGAAAGAATCAAAGTCATAAAAAGTCAATTAACAAACTATTCTAGTAACAGAACCGGTCACACCTACAAAACCAAGAAATCTGTCCCATGAGAATCTGTCAAAAATTATGTTAACTATCCAAGAAGAGAGAAATTTGATAAACATGTAAAATGCCATTTACTAACTAATAAATTAAGTAGCAAAAAAACTACTAACCAATTAGAGTTGATTTTCAGAAAATCTATGAAAACTATATAGAAATAAGTTATGTAAATAAAAAATTAGCTTTTCCTACATAAAAACTAAATCCCATCTGCTTTACTACAACAGGAGGGATCCACTGATTTCAGGGCTTGTTTTTCTCCTTGCTAGTGGGGGTTGTTAGGCCTATTTCATACAACAAGCTGCTTGTGTTAGTGCCAAATATAAAGAGAGTTGGGTTTAGATCAACATCCCTGTCTGTAGTTCCTTTGTCTTAAAGTTACTGACTAAAAACCAAAATATCTTTGGGTGTAAGCTGTGCCAAAAGTCATAGGGTCAGGAATTCTCTTTGCAAAATATCCCTTGACAAAAAGTTTGGGCTTTAGTTGAGGGGGAGAAAATAAAAAGAGTGTGCACTTGTTTCGTAGCTGATGATTGGGAAAGATAATTTTGATCATTTAGCTTAGAAGTTTGCATTTGCAAACTTTCCTGAAGAAAATTCACAAACATGATGAACCAAATTCTTTCCTTTGAGGCCCATTTGGCCCAGTTGCCACATAAATAGGTTAAAGTCTTCCAGCTAAAGAGTCCCACCTGGTAGCACACACAGGTAGCTGTCATTGGCCAAAAAAAAACCCCAAACCAAACCAAAACAAAAAAAACCCAAAACCACAACAACCAAAACAAACAAACAAAAAAACAGTGACAATAAATTTCTGGTATGGTCTGGCACCCTCACCCTCTAGCTGGTATTTCCAAGCCTGTGTGAGAGAAGTAGGTTTGAATTCAAAGGGCTATCTTTGTTATTTGTTTCTTAGCTTCTGCAGGGAATAAAATAGTACAGAGAAACTGTCATTCATTGTCATTAAACACCTATTTTATTGTTATAATATGCTACTTAGGACAGACTGTATATACAGTGACAGGAAGGGAATGCTATTTCTTTTTTTTCTCTTGACTTCTGTGTCCATTCAGCAGTAACAGTTTCAGCAACAGTTTTGTTGGGTGAGGTTTTTTATTTGTTGGTGTGTTGTTTTGTTTTCTTCCCAAGAACTTTGATCCCCTTGACCCAGTTTGAGGATTCCCTATAACTAGGTGAAATCCTGCATGGCTGGTATTTTTGACCTGTTGTATTGAGCAAGTTTTTGTGTATTAAATACTAATTCAGTAGCTACTTAAAGAAAAATTTGTCTCTGATCTGGAGTGCCATAATATAAAATATGATTTTTACAGTATTTATGTAATAGCTAGGAGTAAGTGCTACTGTAAGTGGACAAAGGAGAAATAAATCCATGCAAAGTCTCTTATTCCGGGATATTTTCTTGGCGTTCAACCCTGTGCTGCTCGCTTTGCTAATGCCTAATGCTGCCACCCGCTGGGCGTAGAAGGCACAGAATCATCCAAAAATCCTTGAGCTCTGCTTCTGCTTCCTTCCCAAAACACAGCTTCAACCCCACTTCTGTCTGTTTTTTTAAAGTTACATCAATGTTGTTCTGCCAGCTACTTACAAATTTTGTAAGGGTGTGGCTTCTATCTGAACAAGAGAATAAGAGAGAGGTACCTCTGTGTTTTCCAGGATTTCTCTGTGCTGGATTTCCCCGAGTGAGGTTATTCCGATGGCAATCATGCTCAGGGTGGATGAGGTGCTGGCCAGGGCAAGATCTCGCACTGCTTGCACCAAGTGTCTTGTCACTCCTACACGCAAAGCACTGGTGAAAATCCAGGCACCTGAAATTATTTTTAGAAAGCAGTTAGTGAATTTCTTTGTATTGCAATGTGTTTTTGTGTCTGGTAACATTACTTCCAGTACTGGATTTAAGGGTTTTTAAAAAATAGATAAAGTGAAGACCGGTCTTGATGGACTGTAACTTTTAGAATTAAAATACATGCAAAGTATATAAGACTTCAATAAGGAAAACAAGAAGAAATTATGAGCTCAAGGAGACATTCTTCATATATCACATGATGCAACATGACCGTCTTTACTCTGATGTTAATATGCTCATCAAGAATGCTGTGCCCACTCTGGAGTAACTCCACTCTGGAGTTATTCAGTGTCTACATATGAGCAGAAACATCCCTGTACCAGGCAGTTCTGAGTGGTTTACAAGGAAGAGGAAAGAGACAGAGTCAGTGAAGTTGTTGACTTAGAAATGAGATCTAAACAGTCCTGTGCAATCACCTCTTAGCAGAAGAGCTCAGTCATAACCTGCCTAATCTGGAGTTCTTTCTTCTGTTCTTGTGGGTGTGTGGAACATGAATTCTTCAGGATAATAGAATTTACAGCAGTGTTGTTACAGTGACAAGGAATTTGGAGAACCCTAGGTAAACAGCAAACTGGCCTTTTTAAAATATGTAACATAAAGAAACTGGGGATCCTGATGCTGCCCAGTCTGAAGTACGGAAGGCAGATGGAGATAGAGAATATCTGTGTAGCACAAAAGTACCAAAAAGAGCTCTGGTATTGGGCTGTCTCATTACAAAAAGCAAAACTGGTACAATCTTGTCTGGAGCAGTGAAGCTAAAGGAAGAGCTTGCTATGAAATGCTCACAGATATTTTCACTGTATTTTGCAGGTGAGAATGCAGAAATTCTTACTTTTGATCTAAATTCACTCCTGTTGAAGGCAAATTGCTCTGCTCTCCTTAGAATTATTTTGTTATGGCACAAAAGAGGGGCAATTGTATTTGGTCCCATTTTGATGCTGTATTTCTAGTGTCACCTCTGTGGGAATAATATCAGGTCATTTCACACTTCAGAAATGGTTACCTAGAGAGATTTGCTTTGAAAGAACTTATTTTCGCTACTATAATACAATCACTTTCATTTTCAAAGGTATTTACATGTAGGTTGCATTCAGCAAAATCTTGAATTTCCAGAAATAGTTGTGTGAGCAGGTCCATTGTCATTACCAGATCACTGGGGACTAGGTGTGAGAATCCGTCACGAATAAAATTTCCTTTTTAAAGCCTAAAGCACTCACCTGTGCTTTCAGCTGCCTTTATAAGTCCTTTCTTTAAGGTGTCCCGCAGCCAAGGCTTCATCTGAAAATCTTCTTCTCCCCCTACTAAAGAGATAACCAAATTGGGAGCAGGTAGCTTCCATTTGTTGAGCATAACTTCAAATATAATTCCAGGGTGAATGGTACTCTGGACCTTCATAAACTTCAACAAACACAAGAAAAACCCAATGAGTAACCACAGGATGGAAAGATACAGTAAAGAGTCTGTTCATGGTAAATACAGAGGGAAATTATCATCAACTTGGATATTTAAGAAAAAAATTATTTGAGCAAGATTTGACAGAGAACTAAATACTTGAATTAACTTAGCAGACTTCTGTATAATTGCCATCTCACTAATTGGGTGAGTTCCATGTGTTAGTTCTGTGACAAATCACTGTCCCTTAGAGCTTCCTCTTGAATTGCCTTCAGTTTCATGGTAGCCTAGGAAAGCCAACAAATTTCATAGGCATTTTTTGTTAGGCACATAACTGATTTTTCTTTGAAAGGGAAAAGTGATCACCTGTACTTGTATCATGTAATTGCAAATCAAGTGATTGATTTCTGAATATTAAAAAGCCACATTTTAGAACACATTCATGTTCAGGAAGGCATGGTCCTTACTTGGGGTATAAAGTGGTGCCTCACTCTGTGGCACATCAATCCTCACTGTTGCCGACTCTGCATTTACTGCTAAGAAGTAACAGCTGAATAATAGCAATATGTAAAAGGATTAAAACTCCTCAGTGCCCATACCTTTCCATGGTTCTTCCCAGAAGCTATGAAGTCTATTTCTCCTATGCAGTATGGTAATTCTCTTTTGAAGGTTTCCTCTTTGTCACTGCTGCAGAGCTTGGTTTCCTCCATTGAATTCGTAAGGTGAGCACCAGTGGCCCAAGATGTTCACTGGGATGACAGAAAGCTGGCAAATGAGAAGCCATTTAAACTGGAGAGGCCACAAAATCCATTAAAATATATCTAGATGAGTTTTTAGTCAAATGTGTTACTTGTTTTACTATCATGCCTGTAATGTTTAGCTAAGTGGAGGTCTTTGCACCAAATGTCAGATGCTGTATACAGAAGGCAGATTCCACACCAGCACTATGTCACATAAGGTATAAAAAAGCACGACGAAATAAGACTTCCTGAACTCCCATTCAGCAGACAGAAAGCTGAGCTGCAAAGTGCAAGATCCTGCAATCTCAGAGGCCAAAGGTGACCCTGATTCCACAAAAGAGGAAGAGGAGTCTCGGCCACCAACTCTTTCAAGCAGGAGTGGAGCAGCGTCAGTGAGTGTCTGAGTCATGGTTTCTTGCTGTCACTGTGCCTCAGGCTGCTCTGACCTATCTCACCTGATGTGCATGCTAAATAACCCAGTGGTGACGTTGTGTTTGTCTGGAGATGCTTTAGGAGAGGTTTACTCTCTGCTTCCTACAGGAATAGGCTATTTATTTGTGAGCCCAAGTATTTAAGGCCAAGCTGTCCCAGAGCAAAGGTCATTCAGCAACAGTTGCTCTTCTGCATTACATGAGACTCTGGAAAGGTCTGATTGCTTTTCCTGTGTTCCAGTTTGACTGAACTGACAGAATTGTGATCTGAAAAATTCAGATTTGAACTAGTATGCTTTATTTTGATTATTTTCAAAACAATAGCAATGAAATAGCTCTCTCCCCTCTGCTTCAGCTGCATGTTGAACTACATAGTCTTTAAAAAAAAAATCCTTGTGACACTAAGCCAGCAATGGTAATCAACACTGCATTAATTTTTATTTCCTAGTCTGAGAGCTTTGCTGTGGGATTGAGAGTGTGTCAAACCAGCAAGTCTCATGTGGGTCTGTTAGGATGCTCCAGTAGAGGGAGCAAGCCCTCCAGCCGTTCCCTTGGGCTGGGAAGCTCTTGGGAGCCTGTATCCCAGCTGCTTCACCACAGCAGCAGTATTTTCTCTTTTCTTTTCTTTTTTCTTTTCTTTTCTTTTCTTTTCTTTTCTTTTCTTTTCTTTTCTTTTCTTTTCTTTTCTTTTCTTTTCTTTTCTTTTCTTTTCTTTTCTTTTCTTTTCTTTTCTTTTCTTTTCTTTTCTTTTCTTTTCCTTCCCTTCCCTTCCCTTCCCTTCCCTTCCCTTCCCTTCCCTTCCCTTCCCTTCCCTTCCCTTCCCTTCCCTTCCCTTCCCTTCCCTTCCCTTCCCTTCCCTTCCCTTCCCTTCCCTTCCCTTCCCTTCCCTTCCCTTCCCTTCCCTTCCCTTCCCTTCCCTTCCCTTCCCTTCCCTTCCCTTCCCTTCCCTTCCCTTCCCTTCCCTTCCCTTCCCTTCCCTTCCCTTCCCTTCCCTTCCCTTCCCTTCCCTTCCCTTCCCTCCCCTTCCCTTCCCTTCCCTTCCCTTCCCTTCCCTTCCCTTCCCTTCCCTTCCCTTCCCTTCCCTTCCCTTCCCTTCCCTTCCCTTCCCTTCCTTCTTTTTTTTTTTTTTTTTTTTTTTCCTACGAGTTGCCTTTTCCCCTATGATCTGCCTCTGAAGAGTGGCTATGGACCCTCTCACAATTTGCTCCCCCTACAGCTATGTCAGGCTTTTTATCCACCCCAAACTCCTGCCAGAGATCACTGCTTTAAAGATTCTTGTTCACATTCTCCCTGCCTGCATGCTGCTCCCTTCTGGAGAGAACAGAGCGATTTCTGTGAGTGCTCAGATACCAGACCAGTCTGGTTCAGAGTCTTACCTAAGAGAACTTCTCTTGGATCTTCAGTAATGGTAGTCACAGCAAAGCCCACCTTCTTGTCTGTGTCCACTTTCCCACAGTAGAAATAGCTTTATCTCCCAAAAGCATCAAAAAGAATATCATGGGGGGAAAAAATAGTTAATGGACAGTAATAATAACATATTATGTATTACTTATTTATGTAGACATCACTTTCTGGAACTTAATGACAGAACAAAGGATTTTATTAGAAACAAAACTACTCAGGACTGAATTTACAGGGTACTGTAGTCACTGTTCATCACTGTCCTAGACAGTACACATTTATTTATAGCAACACACAAGCAATGAACTTGAAATAGACAGCAATTTACAAAATAATTCAATGGTTAATTTGTCCACAAGTGGTTCATTTTAAGCCCAGTTATCCATTACTTCTCTTTTGGAATAAAGAAACTAGGCTGCTGAGATTTATAGGGAATATTCTTGCATTTGGGTAATTTTTTTTTTCAAGAAATAGCACATTATTGTTTTATTTTCAGTTTAGTGATTCTGGTTCTCAATGGTAGTGAAAAACAGTGTAGGAGACAAAAATAGGTAAGGTGCAGAAACAGAAGCTTTGTTCACAAGCTGTTATAAGGCTGGAAAGTGAGGAAAACACCTGTTAACTGGCAGCTACATAAGGAAGAACTTTACAGTGCAGGTGACTGAGCACTGGAACAGATTGTCCAGAGAGGGTGTGGAGTCTCCCTCAGTGGAGATACTCAAGGATCATCTGGACACAATCCTGTGCCACGTGCTCTGGGGTGGCCCAGCTTGAGTAGGGAGGTTGGACCAGATGATCCCCTGTGGTCCCTTCCAGCCTGACTGTTCTGTGATTCTGTTTTATTCTGAACATTGCAAAATCCCAGTGCATAAGATATGTTTCTGTGGTTCCTAAACACAGACTGACCACGGCTGTTTCCTTACCTCCCCTTATAAGCTGTCTCAGCTTCTGCAGTGTAACCCCTCCCTGTTAGGGGCAGAATGACCAAACACTGCATGGATCTGCTCAGGGGCTGCACCTCACCTTGCCATCACTTTGCTCTGCAGTGCAGCTTCACTCCCTGCCCATCAGTCAGCACATGGATTGTGTTATGTCCCTGATGTGTGATCAGGGCAGGATATAATCAGCCCTGTAATTTCCTCCTGGATTCTTGACACTTCTGTTCTTAAAAAGCATGTGGGTATCTCACCCAAAGTCCTCTAACAAGCAAAGTGAGCATGGATCAACAAACTGTGTGATACAATTATGGTTTTTCAGAATACCTGTCTCCTGGGTTTAATTCAGTCTTGTTTGGCTTTCACATGAGTCTCTGATGGTTTCAGGGGCTTTTGCTCTGCGAATTGAGGCTGTACAAGATTGCAAGTATGTCAGGTCACAGTAATTGGGTCGAATCTCTGTGGTGGAAGTCATGACATACCACAGCTCAGCCGTGGCCAGCTTATGCCACTGCAACGTCACAGAGTGGGGTTTAATTGGGAAGGTCTGGGATAAACCTGTGCCTTGGGATAGAACAGACAGCCAAAAGGAGGAGGAGAATCCAAGCACTTTTTGGGTGAAAACCAATGGGGGATGATATTTCATCATTTTCTTGCTTTACATATACAATTTTTGATTAAATGTTTTAGAAATTTCCAACATTTCTTTTATCCTGTTATTTAATTTTTTTTCCCATGCATTATCTAAGAGAATGTTGTTGTATTAAATTTTATTAAAAGATTACCTAAAGGTAAGAAATCTGAAAAACTTCAGGGTTAAGGAAAAAAAAAATCTCATAAAAATCTTGTCTGCCCCAACATGTGCATTTGTATTTTCAATTTTGTGTATATATCAAAAAATCTTACTTTAGTTCTGGTTCAGACTTAAGTAAATATATTTCTATTTAGGCTGCTGCTACATATCTAAATTTGTAGGTCAAATTTTGTCCTACATGTTCTATCAACTACAAATACAAACATCTATGGAAAGAATGTACCTCTAATAATTACCAGATTTGAAATATAACCTAGAAAACTATTTCTAACTAGCAAAGCAAGTTAAGACAATTATGAGGAAAAGAAAATTGCCAGTTCCACCTACATCTGGAAATGTGAGTCAGTGTCATTTACATTAGGGATGGCCTGGTTAAATCATTCCAGGTGTCAGCCAGTGAATCATTATTTTTTTAACCTCAGAAACGGGAGTTGTAAGAGTTGACCATTATATAAACTAGTGATGCTGGAGCTTGCAGGTCCTAATGCTCCTTATTCCTTCCTTTTGGATGGTCCTGACTTCTGATTTCAGCACTTGAGATTTCAGGGATGTAGGAAATTGTCAGGGAGGTATCACTTCGGGGGGCAGTTGTGATGGCTCTGGGGAAGCTCCACAAACAGAATCCTTTCAGAGATCCCTTTCTAATGGGTTTATTCAGAAAAAATATTGAGAACAGAGCCACAGGGAAACATTTTGACTCCTATGTTTGCCCCTTTCTGGACTTTTCTTCCTCCTGTCTCTGCTTCCTCTCCCCCTCTCCTGCCATGCCTTTCTCCTACAGCTTCTCTCACCGTATCCCCCAGCTTTCCACTGTCTCTTTCCACCTATTGTCACCTAACCCACCATGAGTGTGCATCTCTACTTCCTTGTGTGGTAACACAGGATAGATTGTTCACCTCCAGAAGGATGAGAAGAATGTGGGTCTGCTTCACACTTCCTTTATATTTTAACCAGGATTAGGCTGTGTCCATGGAAGGAAGAGAGGTCAAATTTGAGGCTTTTAAACATGTCTTTTGAAAATGGGCCTAGTCAAGGGATGGTTTGACCTCAGTTGTTGTCTTCCAGGGCAATGGTTCCATTAAGAGAGTAGGTGTGTGGCAGTCATTAGCTCTCATGACTTAAAACTACTAAGAATTCTCCTTCATATCTGAATGCTGATCAGCAGGCTGGGACACACCCTGACTCTGAATCACAACAGTTTCCTTCACCCACTCAAGGTGTACATTTGAATATATAGGTGAAATGATTAAATATAGTAATGAAGTATTGTTAATGTTAAACCAGTCACAAAGTCCCCTCTGCCCTTAGCTTCAGTGGCAGGTGAGGCAAACCTAATGATTTATAAACTTTCAAGTATTCTTTCATGTGCAGCAACAGACAACTACACCA